TATATGACTGCAATAAGAAACGTCTGTAGACAGGATATTTAAAGTGTTTTCCCCACACATAGGCACTTTGATAAAGTAAAACCAGCTGATTGGGCCGTGGTTGATGTGTCCTATGAAGTTGCCCCAGTCCTATAACAAAATAATAATAATAACGACATGGTGCGTGCTTCCCATTTTGTAATATTCTTTTCATTCCACGTTCAGCTGTTCCTCCCCGATTTAAGGAGGAACTGAAAAGCACAGAAAGCCTGGAGGGACAGTCAGCAGCCCTACGTTGTATGTTGACCAAACCAAAAGCTTCTCTGGAGTGGAAGAAAGGACAAAGGACTCTTAAATCTGGAGATAAATACAGATTGGTCCAGGAGGGTCTCAATGCTGAGCTGGTCATAAATCGACTGGAACTGGGAGATGCTGGTGAATACACGTGTGTATGTGGAGACCATCAGACAACTGCATCTCTTACCGTGAAGGGTAATGATATTCTTCTGACCCCCTACGGTCACCTTCTGTTGGCTTCACATTTGCCTTCGCTTCACCTTCACCCGTCTCCTCTAATAACCTGTTATCATCATCTTAATGCAATTCCATTACCAGTTCTTATGTCTCTTCTTCCATTATCACCTCTTTGCTCTTACTTTCTTACCTGTTCATCATCATTGTGACGAGTATTCAGCTGACAGCATGGCCATATATGTAACCTTCTAATGGTCTTACCAAAACATCAAAACTTATAAGTCTCATCTTTATATGTTGTTTTTTTATTGTGATAGTTTATGTGTCTTACATTATACTCATTGTATCTTTTAATGACCATAGATTCTGGTTTCCATCTGTCTTCCCTCCTCTTGTGCTGCAGAAGTTAAATATAAATTAATCTGCACTTACAGGTTTCCCGTAAAAGTTTACATTTAAAGTGTTAAAATTTTAAATAAAAAAGAATTCCATTTCCCAACCAGCAACTAGAGACTTGGGCTCCTCTTCACATGTCTACCTATCTATTCTTAGCTGCACTGTTGAACAGAAATTCTGCTGTTTACAGAGCTGAGTAGCTAAAACTACTTATTGCTATCCACCTCCCTCCTCCAGATTGTTCTGTAGAGTTAGAGGGGGAGAGCCTGATGGCAAGAAGTTTCTCTCTCTCTTTTTAGAAAACCCATTACATCCATTACCAGGGCCGGATTCCCGGCAAGGCCACCGTGGCCCGGCCTCGGGGCGGCACTGAGCAGAGGGGCAGCACAGGTTTGAAGTCACCTGATGCCCGGTACATGGAGTTCCGGGCGCCGGGCGGTAATTTGTTTTCTACATTTAGCCCTGCTTTGCCCAAGCTGAGCTAAATGTAGAATAGGAGAAATCACCTGTTTCTTTAGAAGTAATCTCGGCGATGTCGCTGAGATCACTTGTAATTAGACTGCAGCCGGTCCGTCCTCCCCCCGCCGCCCCCTCCCTCCCCTGCACTTACCTCTCTCCATGCTGCATCCTCCCGGCTCCGTCTCCCGGCTCCGTCCTCGCCGCCGCCTTCAGAATGGAGAGCTGTAAGCAGAGCGGCATGGTTAAAAGTAACCCTGCCGCTCCGTGTACACAGTGAGAGGGGAGAGCTGTGCTGTGCTCTTCCCCTCTCACCTGTCACAGGAGTTCCAGCACAGCGCTGCGCTAGAACTCCTGTATTGGAGGTGACAGGTTCAATAAAGAGAACCCGTCACCTCCAAATGCTTTCACACAGTGATGTGTGATAGCAATAAAGTTAGGTGAAAAAGAAATTGCTAAAAAAATTATTACATAAATAAAAATAAGAAAAAAATCATAAGTAATAATAATTACATTAAAAAATAAAGTAATAAATAAAGTAAAAAATAGTAAGAAAAATAT